TACTATAGCTACATGCTGACAAAATATTACACAGAATCATAGTAAAGCATGTAAAGTTCAATTTAAATACTTGAAATGGGTGTCAAATAGCTTTTTTCTATCAAAAAAATCAAAAATTGAGTTAAGCCGAAAAAATCGGCTTCGATCTCTGGTATAAACCACATTTAATAAGACTTTAATTTGATCATTTCAACACAATTTGGATCTCATTCTGTCATTAATAATAGAAGTATTGATTTGCAACAGTGGCTCAGACATAGAGTTTGGAACTGCTAATTAGTAGACATCAAGTATTAAATACAAAGTTTTAGGTCTTTCGCTATATCCGATCTTTTTTGTTATTTTTTTTTTTTATAAAACTCAATCGAAGCTGAAAATTCTAAATTATGGCAAATAAACTTTTTGATCAAAATAGATATTTAACTCCCCTTTAATGTTTTGTGGTATTAGTCAATAAACTAGTTTTTTCCTTTAAAGCTTAGATATGAATTATTGTATTTCACCTTAAATCCACCGAACAATCCCAAAGTAGATTAGAAACTTTGCAAATTCCAAGCTACACATCCTCTTATATATAAAAAAGTATTTTATCAATAATTACGAAATATTTTTCTCATCATTTTTGCGATAATAGTTTAATTAATTATATTTTTAAATTTTCTTTTTTTTTTCATCCAGTTTTCAATTCTATTTATTTTAATTTTTAAATATGGTTCATGCAATTTATCTTTTCGGTAAAGAGACATTAAATAGCTTTTTTTTTGTTTTGTTAAACTTGAAATTAAAATGAAACTATTTACAACGAATTTTCATCAAATTTTGAGTCACATTGCAAACTCATTTCACATTTTTATCGAATAAATGCTTGACATTGTCGAAAATCGTCAATTTTTCTCTTTTTTTAAATGATTTATTTTTTCATGCAACAAATTTATTATTCTTTTGCGTATTGTGATAATTTTCATTGATTTCAGTCACATTATAGCGGGTTAAAAGGGGGGTAATTAGTGTCAAAAATCTTTCATATGTCAAATTTGCAAAATTTAATTTTTCTTGCTTTATGCTTGATTTTTTTTTCCAAAAAATGGGCAGAAACAGAGTTGTTTTCGGTTTCTATTCAAACTTTATATATATTTTTTTTTTCATTTCATATTTTCTTTAAAAACATGTTTAAACTGTGTAAGTTGTAGTGAATCCGAAAAAATCAAACTTTCGTCTAGAATTGTTTTGTTGCGGGAAATGGTTGGTTATACAGTAGCGTCCAAAAAGATAGACTCACCCTTGTATGGAGAGGTTTTTTAATCATAAAATGAGTTCTGCTCAACCGATTTTAATAATTTTTTCAGTGTTTGAATTAGAACTTAAAATGAAAACAATTACTATGTTACTTCATACTCAAAATTTGTTAAATATAGTAGAAATTTTTTTTTTATTTTTTTGACAACGTTCAAAAAGATAGACTCACCAGATTAATAAAATATTTTCTAATGAATTAAGAACTTTTATGTACTAATTATGATTTTAATCGATAGATTTAATGTTTCTAAAGATATGTTGACAAAAAAATTTATGCTTCAACATATTTATGCTCCACAAATAGCATAAATTTTACTTGATGAATTTCTCAAAGTTTTTATCAAACTTCTTGAATACTAGTCGACTTTTATTAAATGTTTCTATACTGATTAATAGCATTTTTAATTATCTTTTCAACGATGTATAAAACATAGCTAAATCATTGAACTTTATAAAGAAATTAACAAAAATGTTCCCAAAAATTCAATATGGCGGCTCCATAGAAATGAAAAATTGAAATTTTTTCGAAGTTATAGCCAGAAATCCCATACCTTTTATGCTTTATTTGATTGATTTATAACTATTAATTAATTTTATCAAGAGTTTTTTAAACTTATATCCATTTCCGCAAAAATATTAATAGCAGGGACTAAAATGTATGAAAAAAATCTTTGATGAAAAAAAATCACTCATTTCAATGAGTAAAAAAATCATAATTTCTTTCCATCCTGCGTACATTATTACGTAGAAAAAAATCACGTAAGAAAAATTTTTACGTAGAACTTCATCACGTAATGATAATAATTACGAAAAAAAATTTTCATCAACACAAATTTCATTCAAAAATAAATATTTCAAATTTTTCATAAAATTTTCAACTAAATGTGAAGTGCTTATTGCTGCTAATAGTTTATTCAAGTATTGCAACGATCAGGTATGGATATAATAACTAATAAAGGAAGTAATGACATAAATTGGACTCAAATTTCAATAATTTTAGGAGAACATTAAGGTAAGAATCAGTGAACCAATGCCTTACTATATTTTAATTAAGTTAAAATCTATTTTAACGAGTATCTGGTTGTTTAAATGACAGATTAAAATATCATTAATCATGGAAGAAGCTAAATTAAAGCGCAAGTGACTTAATAGTGATTAAGTTCTACGTAAAAATTTTTCTTACGTGATTTTTTTCTACGTAATAATGTACGCAGGATGGAAAAAATTATGATTTTTTTACTCATTGAAATGAGTGATTTTTTTTTCATCAAAGATTTTTTTCATACATTTTAGTCCCTGCTATTAATATTTTTGCGGAAATGGATATAAGTTTACAAAAATATTGATAAAATTAATTAATAGTTATAAATCAATCAAATAAAGCATAAAATGTATGGAATTTCTGGCTATAACTTCGAAAAAATTTCAATTTTTCATTTCTATGGAGCCGCCATATTGAATTTTTGGGAACATTTTTGTTAATTTCTTTATAAAGTTCAATGATTTAGCTATGTTTAATACATCGTTGAAAAGATAATTAAAAATGCTATTAATCAGTATAGAAACATTTAATAAAAGTCGACTAGTATTCAAGAAATTTGATAAAAACTTTGAGAAATTCATCAAGTAAAATTTATGCTATTTGTGGAGCATAAATATGTTGAAGCATAAATTTTTTTGTCAACATATCTTTAGAAACATTAAATCTATCGATTAAAATCAAAATTAGTACATAAAAGTTCTTAATTCATTAGAAAATATTTTATTAATCTGGTGAGTATCTTTTTGAACGTTGTATTTTTTTTTTGAAAATTTCTACTATAATCAACAAATTTTGAGTATGATTCTAAATGAAGTTCTAATTCAAACACTGAAAAAATTATTAAAATCGGTTGAGCAGAACTCATTTTATGATTAAAAAACCTCTTCATACAAGGGTGAGTCTATCCTTTTGGACGGTACTGTAATTGGTCACTTGAGCTGTGTTTGGTGAGATCTTTGCTCAGCTTTTTGACTATTTTATGACCAGTTTCAATTTTTCATTCAGTTGAGCATTTGTATGGTTCTGGTCAGGGTTGCTCAATTGTATGATCTTGAACACCATACAATTCTTAATTGTTCCAGTCAAATTTAAATGTGTGAAATTGGTTAATTTTTAAAATGACTCAGAACCTTACAAATGCAATTAGGAACAATATTACATAACTCAATGTCCCCAAAAGTAACCAAAACTTCTTCCCTCCAACTTTCAGTCGATTTCTATTCCATCGAAAAAAATGTTATTTTTTCACCAATCAAATTTCTTCAATTTTTCATCCACAAAAAAATGTTATTGAAAGGAAATGCCGAGTGTTTCTGTTTTTTTTTTTCAACTTTAGTTAATGCAATTAAATTTTTGTTATTGTAAAGAATTCCCGAGAGATATTTCTATCGTCTTGATTCATTTTCTTATCATTTATTTTGCTGTTCTAGGGAAATAAAAAATTATTTCTTCATTAATTTTTTTTGGCATTTCAACATTTTCTTTTTAAATATTAAACTTTTATCAATAATAATCTTATTAATTGATATTTTGTAACAAGTTATAACAAATATACAAAAATATATTTGCTTGATGTCAATTTTGAAGATTGATGAATTGACGACTAGGCAAAAAGACATTCAATCGACATTTCATCAATCTTTAATTTAGACATCAAACATTCATCACAGTCCATAACACGTTTTTTTTAATTCTTAAAAAGATTTTTCTCCATTTTTTTGATTCACATTAGGTGTTGTTTTAAATTTTTTTTTATGTTAAATCTTCATTGATTTTTTTTTTCATTTCTGCAGCACTCAATCAAAATTGAGGCGATTTCATTCAAATGACAATATAAGGAAAGCTTTCGTTTATCTTTTATTAATAGTTTTATATCATATATGATAATAAAAAAATTTCTCAATCCATGATTCTCGTATATATAGTCCATCCTTATTACTATTATAAACTCTTTTTTTTGAGTCTCTTTGAGACTTTTTATTACACTTTCTTTCTTAGTTCAGTTTTATTGACACATTATTTCTCGTAAAAATATTCTTTTTTATTTGGTTATAGAACCATGAAGAAGAAGGCAGGAACTGTAAATAAAAGGTTTTTAAAATTGGTAAACTAAGGTGTTGATTTAGATGCTAACTGTTTGAATAATGCTTTCAATCTCAGCGATGACTTTAGCGCCAAAATTTATTAAGTTCAATTTTTGAACCTCAATTTGAATTTTGATTTCAATTTTTTAAGTTCCGTTATTTTTTAAATTCTAAATTTCCGTTCATTTTATTTTTGACTTAACGCTCAATTCTCAACACCAGTTCAAATTTTGAACTTCCTTTATTTCTTGACTTAATAAATCATTGAAAAAAGTTAAAATTTAAAGTTAACCAATTTCAAAATCTTTTTATTCCTGTAAGAAAGTAATTACTTTTCATTCTTCTTAAAAAGTTTTGTAAACTTAGATATTGTTTCTGATTATTAATTTAACTTTCTCAAAAACCTTGGTGAGGATGTGGTCCATAAACCCTTTACTTTAAGAAATCATGAACCACAACCTTGTGACAATTATTAGATAATCATATTTGATTATAGACAAATTCAAAGGGTTAAATGAAGAGTAAATTTCTGTTCATTTTTTTATGTTAACTTTTAAACATAATTCATATATATATCATAATTCTCTCATCGTATTAATTCTATTATAGGTCAGGAAATAATTAAAAAAACTTCAAAAAAATGAAAATGAAACTTTCTCAAAAATCATGAATTTGCAAAAAATGGAAAAACTTTTTTTTTCGTCAATAAAAAAATTACTTTTTAAGCCTTTGAGGCGTCAGATGAGCTTTTTTGCTCATCATTTCCTGCATCAACTTTACCTTTTTTCTTATTCTTCTTAGACTTAATACTAAGAATGTTATTGTTTTGTGGTTGTTGTTGTTGCGGTGTCACAGCATTTTCATTCGAAAGCACATCCGGTATGGCAGTAGGATTAGTTGCACTAATCACATCATCTGGTTTCTTATCACATTGTTCCGAATCAGTTCCATTACGATTGTCTTCTATAGCCTTTGGCTTCTCTGGTTGTGATGCCTTCTGTTCATCCTCAACGACGTTGGCTTCGTGATTTTCTGATTGATTTCTGTGGATTAAATAGTTAGCGATTCATTTGATAAGCTGAAATTAAGCAAATAGTTCAAAGTCGTAGTAAACGTGCGACTATTGTCAACGCCAGAACATTGAGGGGTATCTGTGATAATTCCAATTAAACCACTAATAGTGTAGCCTTGACGAGTCTTGTCAAAGACGCTTCAATAAGGTGGGTATTGCTGTTTAAAAATCAACAGTTTTGACCTTAAATTTTAGGCATAATACTATAATAGTAAATAAAATACATCCAAAAATAATGTTCTACACACGGATATCGTAAATTTTAACCTTCATAGTATGTTACATAATCAAATTTACATACCCATTTTCGTTCTTTATTGTCGGTTCTTCTTCCACCTCCTCTTTTGGACTTATTTTCTTTTCATCATTTAATTCGTCAGTCTCCTCACTTTTACTAATTTTCTTCTCCTTCTTTGCCTTTGTTTTCTTTTGTTTTGTATTGACAAAACGATTTGTCAACATAGTACTAGGTCCACTCACACGGTAACGATTATTAGCACCTCTTTGTATACGTTGCTGATTAATTGGATAACGAATTTGCTGAAAAATGCAAATAAAATCAATATAAAAAGATATATAGAGCATGCAAGAAGCTTTATACCATTCCAGTGCGGTTGACTCGAGTTGATTGTGAACGATTTGTTGCCCAAGATCCAACAACTACGCCACCGACTTTCAATTGATATCCATTATTCTTTTGATAGCCAATTGCTCCACTAATACGTGCATTAGCTTGTTGTGGCTGAATCTTTGCTTTTGCAGCAGCTTGGCGTTGATTTTGTAATGCATATTGACCAACATTTGACTGATAGAACATTTGTTGCATATTATAAGCATAATTATTTCCTCCAGAAATTGGTTGTTGTAAAGTCACATTCTTATTGTTTGTTGAGCCATAGACAGCATATTGACTATGACCTGGATATACTGGACGATACATTGTTTCAGTAAATGGAACAAGAGTCTCAATATCTTCCAATATTGCTTTACGGAAGCGCTCAATTTTCATTACCATATCTAATTGATCGTCACAAACTTCGCGCAAGTTTTGAAGACCAACTGACATCCTCAATTTCAAATGAAACAGTTTTCCGTCAAAAAACAGCCAGGGATTGGTTAAATTCCATGGTAAGGGAACTCCACAAGCTATAATTAAAATAATATTTAAGCGGCTTTTTGAGATTTAAAAAATAACGGCTATTTGAAATTCTAATGCTTTAAAACCATACAAATATTTTGCTACAACATTTGTGAGGGTTTGAAATTTGAACTTTAGAAAACCGTTAAACTTACCATCATTAGCGAGCTGTGCTGTTTCGACACCTTGCATGAAAAGTGATGCGAGGAAAACTCCACGCAAATAAACACCTGGCAAAACCATTTCTTGTGTGTAATCGACGTTAACTAATTGTGGTGAGAATGCAGTAGCCAAAAAGGCATCCAGTTCATATCGAGACAAAATATTTCGATCAGGATTTGTTACAATATATCTCAAAACGCATGCCATAACGAGCATATGTTGAGGAACATAGTTTCTATTAAGCATCAATGGCGCATCAGATCGCATGATTGTTAAAAATGCTCGCATTCGACGATGTTTATCTTCAAATGTTGTACCAAACCAAAGTCTTTGAATTGTTGGTACGGCCCATGGCAATTGTACAGCATATACTTCTTCAGGTTTCTTATATTCATTTTGTGGTGACCAAATCCATTCCTGAATAATAACATCAGGCATTGGTAAATTATCTTTAGTCTTCGAGCACATGTATTTTTGATGATAAAGATTGAATAAAATTGCATAAATCATTTGACGTGCTGGTCTATAAAATATATGAATAGCTGGCATTTCACGGTATTGTTCATCTTCAAGGACTTGTGACATCAAGATTTCCTTCTTTGTCAATAAAATGTATATGCGTGAATCCATACTTCCACGTTGATGACGTTGATATGCAGTACGGAGAACTTCTGCTGGAAGTGAATAGACAAACTTGACGCATTTGCGGACGATTTCTTGATGACCAGATGTTGTTGGAATTGGATCGCCTGAAAAAGAAGAGAATTTGAAAGTATCCGAAATAAGCAGTAAAAATTAAGCAAATTAATTCCAGTACAAATCCGAATTAAACTCACTTTCATTAACCAAATTGTTGACATCCTTCAAAATCTTATTTGCAATCTCGTCATTCTCATTGGTTTCACTTGCCATCGGCAGAATTGGCGATGAGTCTTGAATGACATCAATATTCCTAATTATTTCAGTAATTGGCTTCTTCTTGCTACCCAAATAACGCTTGCCACCGAAAATTCCCTTACGCTGATAATACTCAATGGATTCTTTAAGAATATCGCTAAATTCAGTAAGATTTAATTGCTTAATAATAGCCTCAGCTGAATTTGAAGCCGGAATTGGACGAACAAGAGCAGCAAGTTGACGAATGCGAGCTTCAAAGTCCTGATTATACTCAATTTCCAATTTATTGTAAATTTTCTTTAATATTGACTCTTCAATCAAAATATATCCACCAAGTAGGACGGCAATAATAGCAAGCTGTTCAGGCATTAAATTTAAATGACTTAGAACGGTTGCCATGAAATATTCCTTAGTTTCAAGTGCTCCCTTATACGATAAACGCATATCGTGTGAACTAAAGTAACGAGATACATTAAAGATGATGTAGTCAGGATGAAGACCGATAATTCCATTTAACTTGTGCTCGTGATAATAATCAATAACTTCCATTGTATGGTCATGAATTGTTTGAACCTGATTATGGGATAAAAATGGAATTAACATTTAAGTTTTTTGATTTAACGGCAGTTTTAAATTTGAATTTCATGAATGAGGTAAAATGAAATTATAGTTCTGAAGCATAAAAATCGGTAATTATTGTGTCTGGCGATAATCTCCTACTTTTAAACCGATTAAATGGCTAATAACTAGATAGAATAAGACTAATGCCTCAAACTAAGCTCCCTGCAATGTCTGAGTAAGCCAAAGATTGCAACTAGATACTCACAACTGGAATATTGACAGTTCTCAATGCATTTCTTAAGCATGTACGAAGACCAGAAGGAGGAAGCCACCAAATCTGAATGAGAATGGGTGAAAAAAATCAATAAAATTATTGTTTGAGCTAATAATTAATTAATAGACAAACTACCTTTGGTGGTGGAGTTCCAATCATTCTAATATGCTTTAATACCTGCAAAACATCAGAAATAAGCATTGTGTTAATTAAATTAAGGATATTCACTTACCGAAATCGTTCTTTGTCTAAAGTCATTTCGTTCCAAATGAAGCTTCTTATTCTCCTTTAAAGTTCCATCAAAGAATACGACGACATCCGTTTGGGCTGATTGAAAGGCATTAGCAAGTAGTTGCACAAATTGGAAGCATCGATTGAATTGTCCACCACATGCCCAATCTAATCAAATTGGATTCTTATAAGAAAACATTGACATATGGAACTTAATGAATTAAGCTTACCAGAATAGTAGCCACCATAAAATCTATCAATACATCCCTCAATGTCTAAAGCAACACGAAATCTGCGCAATGTTCTCGCCGGCACTGTAATTATACAGAAATTAACTTTTAATTCACTGGATCTTTTTTTGTCACTTCCAATACTGACCTTGTTGCGCATAATTCTGTCCAATTTTAACGATGTCAACACCTTGCGAACCGCCCTCGACCTTCTCAATAAGCGCCTGCAAGTCACTCGTACTGATCATCATGAATACACCGGTATTTATTGATTTTTTTTTCTCTTGTCTTAGTTGCTGGATCTTTTTGTTGTTGTTTTTTTGATGAGAAAATTAATTGATGAAATATCGATTGATTACGGAACTATTATTCAATTTAATGATGTAGATGATCTAGAGAAGGTAGAGACAATGCGAGATATCAGTTTTGCTGTTTAATTAAGCAATTTTCCAAAAGCCGAATTGAAAAATCACATTTTTTACACTGAAATTTTAGTAATTATATAAACGACACGAAAATCGAGTTTACCTTAATGATAGCATAAACTGTATAGATTAAATAATGCAAAAGAATGTTAACTGCACGCTTAATTATATTAAATACACATTATTTAAAGAGAATTTAGTGTATTTAACAAGAAAAAAATTTCTTCTATGTCTATTGAGTTGACGTCCCCTTTAGAATTATTTGATTTTTTTTCAACCGTTAAATTTTCACATTCATTTCACTGGCTTTAAATTGAAATGTAAACAGCATACGCCCAGATGTCGATAAGCAACACAAGTTGTATTAATTGTTTATTCAATTTAATGAATTTTCTTTCGCTCGCACTGCATATAGTGAAATTATCAGAACCATGTGTGTATCACGGAGTTATAGCTTTGTTTGTACCAAAAGAATTGAGGGTGGGATTAGACGAATGTGGTTAGAGGGGGTAAAAAGAGGGGGTGGGGTGCAAATTTTTTCAAATATTTTTTGGCAGTTAAGTTTCAAATATTTTTTGACAGTTATTTTTAAGCAAGAAGCACACAGCAAGTTTGTCCATCTGATTTCCTTACCCTGAACTTCCTTAAATGATTAATAAGTGTTGCTACAATAAACTAGTCACAGAATTTGATTATATCAATCACAAGCTTTATTACATTTTATTTAACATAAAAAATATGCTTTAGATTAGGGGCCGTTCACTTATTACGTTCGCACTTTAGAAGGGAGGGGGGGGGGGGGGTTTGAAAAATTGTAACATAATGTAACATAGGGGGGTGTCAAGAAGATCAAAGAGAGATAGAGAATTATCAAAATAAAATAAATTATGAACGTTCAGGGGGAGGGGGGGTGTAAGTTGTAACATATTGTAACAAGGGGGGGAGGGGGCTGGTGAAAAAAGTCGTTTTTTGCGTAACGTAATAAGTGAACGGCCCCTTAATAAGTAGTTAAGCACGCATCGAATCATCTCTAGTTGCATTCAGACCCTGTCCAACATTGAGTTTAACGACAGCTTTAGTTCCTTCGTGTACAGCATGCTTAGTTAAATCCCCACCTTTCAAGACTAATCGTACAGCACTCTGAACATCCCACTCAGTCATTATCTTGCGATTATCCATTCTGACTAGTGTACCTGCCTCAGTAGCAAGTCTCTCGAAGGTATCGTGGACGAAATTGTTCATTATCTTGATAGATTTTTGTGTAATTTCCAAATTTGGATAAACTTGCTTTAAAACGTCATAAATGTAGTGTCTGAAGGATGTATATGACTTTGGCTTGTTCTTCTTGATCGTTTTGTTCTGTATGAATGTCGTGGATCGCTTGGCTTTGCTCCTTTTCTCTGTTTTTGCCATTTTAATAATTTATTTTAATTTTTAAACAAAAATCGACGACAAAAATATTTTTATTTTTAAAAAAAATCGTTAAAATTCGATTAAGTGTCAATGATGTGAGGAAGTTCCATGACAAAAATTAAATAAATATTGAAAATCTACTATAATTAACCGAGATAGACTTGACAAATAAGCCACCAGCATAAATATCAACAAATGAATTCCCCGAACATACAATGAGTATACTCAGAGCACATTATTTGTGAGCTTGCAAACTTTTGTGAGAATGTGCTCATTTCATACATTAAAGTGATGCGATCACGGTACCTTTTTGAGCATGCTCAGTGAGCACATTCCTATGTGACATGCATTAAGCTCACTGAGTAAACTCATGAGCATACTCAAATGAGAAGGCAACATGCCACACGCAACATTTTTTTAATGCAACATTTTTTTATTGAATATACTTATGAACATTCTCAAAGAGCTTATACTCATGAAGATACTCAAAAGATATATGCTCAGTGAGTTTATTTATGAGTATATGCTCATCTGAGCACATGCATGAGTGCAATCAGTAAAGTCACAAAATAAAAAATTAATTAAGCTAAATTTGTGTTTTATAAGGATAATTCTGTGAATAATTTTGGAAGAGTTAGAAATTATTGTTTACATTTTATCTCTAATACTTAAGAAAGCCTTACCTTGTTGAAAAAACCTATTGCGTTGCTTAACTTCTGTCACCTCACACTTTTCCTTGGAGCAATTTTCTGTAAATATATAATAATTTTTATATGGTAAAACACATACTTAAATTATTATATTATTACAACTAAGTTCTTTGAAGTCTGATACGCTGCTTAATTGAACTATATTTTTATGAAATAGTTGAGTTGATCAGAGCACGATCGTGAGAACATATTATGAAAAATCTCGACCAACTTAAAATTAAACTTAGAACATATTTTTATGCAAGTCGACATTTTCAAAAATGTCGACCAGCTTAAAATCGAACATCGAATACATTTTTATGCAAGTCGACATTTTTTGAAAAATGTCGACCAACTTAAAATTAAACTTAGAATACGTTTTTATGCAGGTCGACATTTTTTGAAAATATTTTATGAATTCAAATATTAGTTCCATGAAAGCCAAATTAATTTAATCGTGCTTAATTTTTATAGTTTTTTAAAAGCAAAGTAATTTTTAAATTAATTCCTTGACATTTATTTCAGAAAACTTAAAATTGTAAAAAGTTTCGTACATTTTTGTATTACATATCTAAAATATTCAACATTTGCTTTTAAGTTGGTTGACAATTTTTTAAAAATAACATTTTAAAAAATGTCGACTATCATTAAAATATATTCTAAGTTCGATTTTAAGTTGGTCAACATTTTTGAAAATGTCGACTTACATAAAAATGTATTCTAAGTTCGATTTTAAGTTGGTCGACATTTTTGAAAATGTCGACTTGCATAAAAATGTATTCTAAGTTCGATTTTAAGTTGGTCGACATTTTTGAAAATGTCGACTTACATAAAAATGTATTCTAAGTTCGGTTTTAAGTTGGTCGACATTTTTGAAAATGTCGACTTACATAAAAATGTATTCTAAGTTCGATTTTAAGTTGGTCAACATTTTTGAAAATGTCGACTTACATAAAAATGTATTCTAAGTTCGATTTTAAGTTGGTCGACATTTTTGAAAATGCTATGTAGATATAATTATGTTAATTATATGCTCATGAGTATGTTAAAAAAGTGTATTCAGAAGAGTAAATTCCCATGAGTATGTTCTTAATATTCCCATAAGCATGTTAAGTAAGTGCACTCATATGAGAACGTAAAAAAATTATGTCACACAGAAGTGATAGTGATGTTCTTAATATTCTCATGAGAATGTTCAGTAAGTGCACTTATACGAGTATATTCGCATAAGTATGTTCTTAATATTCTCATGAGTACACTCGTTGAATGTACTCACGTGAGCTTATAAATTTTTTGCAAAAAAATAAAGTGAGTACATTCGTAATGAACTCCTGAGCATGCTCAGTTGAATGAGCTTGCATGAGTGTAATTTTTGAGTAGACTCACTTATATGCTCACTTTTCTGAGCATGCTCTTTGTAAGTTCGGGGAAGATTTCAAAAGGTGAGCATCCCTTGAAAATTATACAAAAATAACAAAAACAATTGTAAAATAATCTCAACAGCTACAAAATATTTGAAAAGAAAAAAAATAAAATCTCACAAGTTCGCACTTTGTCTGTTTGTCATTCATCTCTCGGCATAAAAATTTATTTAAATAAATTAATCGATATTGAGGAGTTTAAAAATGATTCGCTCGATTTCCTCATTTCCACGAAGTGTCGTTCTACGACTAGGCAATAGAAATTATCAGGTACGGTATTAATTACAGTGTAAAAAGTGTTAAATTAAGTTTTCGAGTTGCGTAATTTTTTGTGAAAAGTTGACTGAGAAAATTTTTCTTTACGGGAAAATGAGAAAAATCGTGAAAAGTGCTCAAAGAACTTTCATTTTCATTAATTATAATTAGTGCTCTCTCGAATTAATTAATGACATCATAAATCGTGCACGTGGTTGTGATTTAAACGCTCGTCGATGATTCATTTTCTGTGCCTTTATTTTTTTTATTTCTGTTCTTTAATTCTCTCATTTTGTACTTCTTTTCTAATGCACACAATATTTGCCATAGATCCAGCAGCTCTTACGAAATAACATTCATCAGCAATGTGCTGTCCAAAAGTTAGTAACCGTAAGCTCAATTGGAGGCAGCAACGAAAGCCAGTAAGTCAATAAATAGACAATATACAGACAGGCACTGTATTGTACATTTCCATTGAACCTAATTTTTATGTCTATTTTCAGATCACTTAAAAATAGATTTGTACCACAACATGTTAGATTTATTCAAACAACGGCTCAGCTACTTGAAGTTGTAAAAGTTCCACCATTCGCCGATTCTGTCTCAGAAGGTGATGTTAGGTAAGTCCAAAAATAATATTAATTGCTATTTGAGCTTGATAAGCAAATCTATGTTAATGAATTAGATTTGATAAGAAAGTGGGCGATGCCGTCGCAGCAGATGATATTGTTATGGAAATTGAAACTGATAAGACTACAGTCGGAGTTCCATCACCCACTCACGGTATTATCGAAGAGATTTATGTCTCGGACGGTGACACAGTTAAGGCTGGACAACAATTGTTCAAACTTAAAGTCACTGATGCTGCTCCAGTTAAAGCCGCAGCTCCAGAAAAACCTAAAGAAGCTGCCGCACCACCACCGCCTAAACCAGAGGCTCCAAAAGCTGCTGTAAGCTATAAATCTATTGATTATACTATAAAATGTTTATTAAATATACTTTAATTTAGCCACCACCGCCTCAACAGCAAGCAATGCCACCTCCTGCTGCCACATCACCTCCTCCAGTTCCTCCAAAACCATCAGCACCTAAACAAACAGTTCCAATTGCAGCCATTCGTCATGCACAAGCAATTGATGCTGCAACAGTAAAATTACCTCCATCCGATTATACAAAAGAAATTACTGGTACACGTACTGAACAGCGTGTTAAAATGAATCGTATGCGTCTGAAGATTGCATCAAGATTGAAGGAAGCACAAAATGTTAATGCTATGTTGACGACATTCAATGAAATCGATATGAGTGCTATTATGGAATTCCGTAAATTGCATCAAGAGTCGTTCCAGAAACGATACGGAATCAAATTGGGCTTTATGTCTGCCTTCTGTAAAGCTGTTGCTTATGCTCTTTCAGATCAACCAACTGTTAATGCTGTTATTGAGGATAGTGTAAGTTGATTCATGATAATGTGAAAATTATAATTTGAAAAAAAAAAAAAAATTTTAACGTATTTTTCAAACTTTATTCTAATTCACAGGAAATAGTTTATCGTGATTACATTGACATCTCTGTTGCCGTTGCCTCACCAAAAGGTCTTGTTGTGCCTGTCTTACGCAATGTTGAGAGTATGAATTATGCTGATATCGAATTAGGCATCAATGCTTTGGGCGAAAAGGCACGTAATGGAACTTTAGCTGTTGAAGATATGGACGGAGGAACCTTTACAATCAGTAATGGAGGAGTTTTTGGATCATTAATGGGTACACCAATCATTAATCCACCACAAAGTGCTATTCTCGGAATGCATGCAACCTTTGACAGACCAGTCGCGATTAAAGGACAAGTAAGATGATTTATATCTGTTGGAAAATAACTTTTTAAGTCATGGTCTCAAAAAAAAAAAATCTATTCTTACTTTTTGAAGGTCGTCATTCGTCCAATGATGTACATCGCACTTACTTACGATCATCGTTTGATTGACGGACGTGAGGCTGTGACTTTCTTGAAAAAGATTAAGGCAGGCGTTGAAGATCCAAGAATCATTTTAGCCGGTGTTTAAGAAACTTAAAATTGAGCGCATTGGACATACACACTTAATGCTTATCACATACACGAAAAATAATTAATTAATTAATAATAATATGTTTCGGACCCTCAGAATTATCTTCTACACTATAAATTTATCATTTATTGAATCTTTAAGTTTTAGACAAGAAAAAAAATCACTTTTTAGACATTATTTAAAAGAAATCTTTAATCCGAGAGATGATATAAGTAAGTTGTATTAAGGTGCTGTTTTCAAGAAATTTGTTACTTATCCAAACAAACGGAACCCAGAATCTTTAAAACGAGCGCATTTTCCTAGCAAAATAAAATGTTAAAATATTCACGGTCAACAAATATTTGAAAAAAAAAACGACCATAAAATATTTAAATAACAAACAATCAAAAAATATTTAAAAATTAACGGTCAAAGAATGTTAAAAAAGGAAAATGCGCTAAAAATCCCATGAAAAAGCAGAAATTTGATGAATTTTTGTCCTTTTATAAAAGTTTTTGCATCATAATTTGGATTAGATCGCGACAACTTATTTATTATACAATATTAAATTAATTAACAAATTTAATATGAAAATGAGAAATTTAATAAAAACTATCGTCGACAGCATGTCATATAAAATCTGTAGATAAGAAAAATCCCCTACTTTTTTGCTTAATTTTCAAGGTCAGAAGACATCACGAGACTCAATTTAGTTACACAAAGTACGTCAAGGAAGTTTCACGATGATCTATAAATAATTTGAATAACAAAATTTTTCATTTCGCACAAAGCGTCGTCAAAATTATCTCAACAAAAAAAAGTGTGTATTGTGTCCAATTACATCACTTAAAGGAGCTGATTGTGGGATTTTTGTTTTAATCTGACATTTGTTGATGCCTGGTGAGGTTAAAGTTGATGTAAATTTGATTATTTTTGGCTTGTAATTTCTGATTAACGTTGATTTGAATTAAAAAATTTTAATTTTATTTTGAAATCATACAAATGATTCTACTTGAAACAGTTCAGTTTCTCTTAAACAATTCAGAGCCATACAATTTCTTTCTTGACCACACAGAACCATACAATTCCAAAACTATTCGGTTGCATAAATTCTTTTCAAAACTCAGGACATTACATCAAGTGTCTTGCAAATCCACTGAAAATCTTATTTTCCATCCAAAATTGTAATTTCCGATTATTTTGAATTTTATTTTGAAACCATACAAATGATTCTACTTGAAACAGTTCAGTTTCTCTTAAACAATTCAGAGCCATACAATTTCTTTCTTGACCACACAGAACCATACAATTCCAAAACTATTTGGTTGCATAAATTCTTTTCAAATCTTAGAACATTACATCAAGTGTCTTGCAAATCCACTGAAAATCTTATTTTCCATCCAAAATTGTAATTTCTGATTAATGTTGATTTGTTATAGAATTGAAGGCTATTGGCTTAGATCTTTGTCTCTGCTTGTGTGAAATTAAAGAAAGCCGTTAAAAAATTTGAATTTTATTTTGAAACCATACAAATGATTCTACTTGAAACAGTTCAGTTTCTATTGAACAATTCAGAGCCATACAATTTCTTTCTTGACCACACAGAACCATACAATTCCAAAACTATTTGGTTGCATAAATTCTTTTCAAATCTTAGAACATTACATCAAGTGTCTTGCAAATCCACTGAAAATCTTATTTTCCATCCAAAATTGTAATTTCTGATTAATGTTGATTTATTATAGATTTGAAGGCTATTGTCTTAGATCTTTGTCCCTTCTTGTGTGAAATTAAAAAAAGCTGTTAAAAAATTTGAATTTTATTTTAAAACCATACAAATGATTCTACTTGAAACAGTTCAGTTTCTCTTGAACAATTCAGAGCCATACAATTTCTTTCTTGACCACACAGAACCATACAATTCCAAAACTATTTGGTTGCATAAATTCTTTTCAAATCTTAGAACATTACATCAAGTGTCTTGCAAATCCACTGAAAATCTTATTTTCCATCCAAAATTGTAAATTCTGATTAATGTTGATTTGTTATAGAATTGAAGGCTATTGGCTTAGATCTTTGTCTCTGCTTGTGTGAAATTAAAGAAAGCCGTTAAAAAATTTGATTTTTTTTTGAAACCATACAAATGCTTCTTCTTCTTCTTAATTATCTTTATTAAGGTCCTTTTTAATAAATTTTAAGACCATTTTCAATTCCAAATATGTTTTACATTATTTTAAATTTATAAATACGAACTGCATTACAGGATATTATGTGTTTTGGTGTTAAATTTTATCGTACAAATTTATTTCTTTTACAAAATTGAGGATTTTATCTGTGACATTTTTGTCGTCAATTTTTAATGATTGATAGTTTATGTTATGTTTAGCAATAGCTATTTGATTGTTTGTGCACTCAAAAATGTGTTGGACAGTGAGAGTTTCATTGCATGTACAGGTTGGGGGAGAGGTTTTTTCTATTAGGTGAATGTGTGTTAAATTAGTGTGTCCAATTCTTAGTCTAGTAAGTACTGTCGAGTCTTTTCTGTCGTATGTGTTGTTATTAGTCCATTTGTTAACAGTCTTTTTAATGTTACCTAATTTATTTCCATTGTTGATTTCCTTGTCCCACTCGTTTTGCCATTCATTTGTGACGTATTGTTTTATATTTTTTGTCATGTCTTCGATTGATATTTTGTAATTTGTGTAATGTTCTTGTCTTGTTGCCTCTTTCGCATTAATGTCAGCTTCCTCATTTCCTTTAATTCCTACATGGCTTGGAACCCACATTATTGTTATGTCAGTGTTGTTATTTCGTAGTTTGTCTTGAATTTGTTTTAACAATATGTTTTTAGGTCTAAGACTTTTTAAAGCTTGGACGACACTTAGCGAATCAGTGCATATTAGTCCCATACAAATGCTTCTACTTGAAACAGTTCAGTTTCTCTTGAACAATTCAGAGCCATACAATTTCTTTCTTGACCACACAGAACCATACAATTCCAAAACTATTCGGTTGCTTCTTCTTAATTAACTTTATTATGGTCCATCAGCTTATTGTTATTTAAAGACCGTTCACAATTCCAGGTAGTTTAATTTACAAATATACACAAAGAACAATTAATAAGATCCAGTCAACTCCAAATGGTTGACAGAAAACCTGACCGTGATAAGTCAAAACAACAAAAAACCATCGCTAGGCAAAAAATTCCGTCTTCAGTTGTCGATGATCCAGATCCCTTGACAGTCCTTCTTGTAATTCAACTTGTGATATTCCAAATAGATTAAAATTTTTATTGTGTCTCGATTGTGATCTGTCAATGTAATTAATATGTTCTGCTGTATTCCGAGATGATCGATTCCTGTTTGTCAATGTTGATTTGTTGAAATCAAGTCAGCGCCAATTGATTGATAGAACTTGCCCGCGATATATGGGGAAACATACAAAACCCATCGCCACGTGAAACAGTTGATTCTCCTCACAACTGCCGCCGATCGTGATTTGTCAATGCAATTATATGTTCTTTGGTATTCCGATGATGAATTTCAATTTATATCCAAAATTTAATTAAATCGCGACTTTGCTGAGTTTTCTCCTTAGCATCTTTGTTCTTTGCTACTTTGAAGACAGTTCCCGTAGGTTTGTGACTTATTCCTACGCGTAATTAATTAATTTTGAAGTATTGCACAATTCCACAACCTCCTCATTCGGAGGTTGGGAGAAAACTACTATTCGGTTGCATAAATTCTTTTCAAATCTCAGAACATTACATCAAGTGTCTTGCAAATCCACTGAAAATCTTATTTTCCATCCAAAATACCTGAAGCTACATAAAAATCATGCAAAGCACGTCTAAATATAAACTTACCAATCAATTTTAATATTTATTAATGTTAATTGATCACCAGATCAATGTTTTTGACGACTAACGCAAATCTACGTGACTTTAATGTGTTAAGAAGTTTAATGGTCGATTTTATATCATGTGCAACTTTTAAGGGGCTTATGTAAAAAAACAAGAAATTAACGTTTTTAAACATAAATTTTATTTAAATATTTTCATCTTAAAATATAAAATTCTGGCAAACTACCTTAACCTGATTGATCTTTTCCATAACATAAATTAAAAATCCAATTTTAATGACACCAACTTCGATCATTAACACATTTATGATAAAACCACTTTGTAATAAGCTGGTTACTTGCTGACAAATTTCTATAAAACTTAGTGTCAATCGATGCTTTTGGATCATTAATTGGAACTGGGAATATCCTCTTAGTATCTCCTTTATTGAGATGTTCCCGATAAGAACGATGGAGCTCTATAATTTCACTTTGAGTAAGACAAGGTTTGCATATCTGGCATTCAACAGGCGAGCAAGATTCTGAGCATGGCAATTGAGAACAAACTTCTCCATTTACCATAATATTTTTGTCTGAAGACAGCATAGCTTCAATTTCAGTCTCGAATTTCTTAAATGATTCTCGATGCAAATAACTTCCAATTCCAACTAAGTTTAACATGCTGTAAATGACTTGTTCGTAAAGCAGTGAATTTTGTTTAAAATGTGCTGACGATAAGTTTGGACTCATATTAGCCTCAATCAAATGAACTTTCATGTCTGAGTCAATAATCAAGTCAAATCGAGCCATTTCAAAGAAGTTTTGCTTGTATTTGTAGTGCTGAATTGCAGTTTTGAGGAGCGGAAGTTTTGTCAATATTGACAGTCGAATTGCATCCTCAACTTGATCCCAAATGACTTGAGGATCTTTTTGAAGATGAGTTCTGACATACGTATCAAAAGATTCTTTCTGTCCATAGCCTAATGAATTGTAGTATTTAGCTAAGGCTGGAACTTCCCAAGTCGGCAAATAATCGTCTGATACAACATATTTATCAATAACCTTTGGATCAAATGGATGATACTTCTGCGGACAGTACCTGAACAAGATATCTCCATAATAGATGTAAACTCTTAATGGGTCAATGCTTGTAATTATTGTATAGACTCCAATATCAAATTTATGTCCGTCAATTAACATTGGTGACTTGATATACTCTTGGACGAATGTCTCATTGTCACTAAAGTTTATTTCATTAATCTTCTGGATCTTAATGTGTCGATGTTGATGATGCTTGACCACAAACAGCTTGTCTGTTTCTTCAGCATATTTCTTAAATTTGTCAGATTCTTCAGGCAATCTAAATGCTTTTGGGATATACTTCATGTTCGTCGTAGCTAAATCAATTTTATTTGTCAAAAATCCACATCCAGGAAAGTGATTGATCTTCTGATGCGACTTAAACTCAAAAATTCTTGTTCTAAGTTTGTTAAATGGATAGTCATGAGCCCACAGCAAGTCAGCAGTGTCCATTTCTATTTCAGAAACTCTTTTCATGCCTAATTGATTAAGAACTTTAATAAGATGAATCCATTGACCGTCGCCTCCTTTGCCATATATCCAGTATGTAGGTTTTGGCAGTTCTTGAGCATTTCCACATTTCACATCACATTCTGATGTTGATGTCTTTAATGGGATCAATTGAGTGACTATAATGCTTGTTAAAATTGTTATGAGGAAGAATAAGAACTGACCTTTTTTTGTTCTTAGGTCAAAGAATGAATTTTCATCCAGACAAGCTTGATTTGCCTATAAAGTATGCAAGATTGATCATTAAATCAATTATCACTTATTTGCCAATGTTTACCTCATCATCTTTGGTCTTCTTATCCTCTTTATTCTCTTTCGACATTGTTCAAGTAGCAGCTAGTGCAATTGAAGCTATAAAACCATTATTGTTGCGTTAAATTGAGATTTAACAGTCTGAGATTCGTCAAGAATGGAAATAAAGAATGATCATCATTGGAAAGTTGTAAGATGTTGAGGTCATTGACATTGAAGAAGTCGTGTTGCTTCTTCTAGCACTTACATAAGAAAGGTTTTTGATCTTTTTTGAATCATTTTATTTAGTTGAGGATTAAGAATGGGAAATGTTAATAAAAATGGGCTTGTCCATCTTTGGTTCCTTTAAAATTGTGGGAATTAATACTTGGTAATGTCTAGTCACCCAGTCTTATTGGAATGTTGGAAAGAAGAAAAAAATTGGTGCTTTCTTCTTTTTTTTTTTGAAAAAAATGATCGTTTTTTTCTGCCTTTATGAGGTTTTTACTTTTTTGCTACCTTGAAACTTTAATCAACGGAAGTTAATGTCGAAGTCGATTGATTCAGGGTTTTGATTTTCAAATGAAGAAAGTCAATCTTTAGCTCAATTAGGATGATTAAAAACATTCAATTTTGCTGAACTAAGGAAATGTAATTATGACAAGATTACAACATGATAACTGAATTTCTGATTTGATATCAGTTTCATACTACTCTGACTATCTGTATACAGAGTAGTTTTATCTGGAACGACAAACTCAAAAAAAGAATTGGTCAACATTTTAACCCATTTTAGCTTTTTGCAACTTTCTGCGAGTGCGATGTATTCAGCTTCCATTGATGATAACGATACTACGTCTTGTTTTCTGCTGCACCATGAAACAACACCTCCATTAATTCCACAAAGAAAACACTGATAGATTTTCCGTCTAACGAATCTTCAGCCCAGCTTGCATCCGAATAAACTTCCAATTCTCCAACTTTCTTCTTATCACTCAACATCAAACTTAGATTCTTGGTACCATTCAAATAGCGAATAATTCTCCTCGCTTCTATCAAATCAGCCTTTGTTGGTTTTGAAATCTTTTGACTCAATATTCCAACAGATGCAGCGATATCAGGTCTTGTATTTGTGCTTACATACAACAGTTTACCAATGAGTTTTCTATACTCATTATTTGATTCTAAATAATTCTCATCATGATGCCTAAAAAAGCCAGTCATCAAAGGATATTTTGAAAATTTTCCATCATTAAGTCCAGCTTCTTCCACAATCTTCTCAATGTATTTTTTCTGACTTATATGAAAATTTCGATCTTTATCACGTTTAACATCATCCCTAAAAAGTGCTTTACACTTCCCATATCTTTTACTTCAAAAAGGCTTGCAATGTGATTTTTAAATTGTTCTATCAGTTTTTCATTATTCGATGCGACTAGAATGTCATCGACGTGAACAATCATATAGCAAGTATCATTTCCTTTCTTCATGCTATACAGACATTTATCAACTTCGCTTTGCTTAAATCCAAAACTAATCACTGCTTCATGATAAATTTTATTCCATGCTCTTGCTGTTTGTTTCAAACCATAAAGGCTTTTTCCAGAGATCGAAGCCGATTTTTTCGGCTTAACTCAATTTTTGATTTTTTTGATAGAAAAAAGCCATTTAACACCCATTTTAAGTATTTAAATTGATAATAATAATAATCCTTTATTTAATTAATGATATACGTCGGAACAAACTGAATTTATCTTGATGTTAACCTCGTCGGTTTTAAATCAAATGTAAAAATGAAATGTGATTATTGATATGACATGAGTTAAGTTTGAACTATTGAGATGCGGTCAAAAAAAATTAGCAAAAAGACCAAAAAAAATATAATAATAATTTAAATTGAACTTTACATGCTTTACTATGATTCTGTGAAATATTTTTTCAGCATGTAGCAATAGTGAGCTCAGAATTTCAAGTTAAAGAATGTTAAGCCGAAATTTAAGCCGATCGGCTTAAAATCGGCTAAATTGAAATTCAGAGCTTACATATAGCTACATGCTGAAAAAATATTTCACAGAATCATAGTAAAGCATGTAAAGTTCAATTAAAATACTTAAAATGGGTTTTCTTAACTTGCAATCATCATTTCCCTTCTCAAATCCAGGTGGTTGCTTCATATATATCTCCTCCTCGATATCACCATTCAAAAATGCAGTCTTAATATCAAACTGCTTCACATGATAATTATTAACACCGGCTATCGACATAAGAATCCTAAATGTTGCTGATCAAGCTACTGGTGCAAACACTTCATCATAATCTTCACCATACTTCTGAGAAAATCCTTGAGCAACCAATCTTGCTTTATATGAACACACCTGGCCATTATCATCTCGCTTAAGCTTGTAAACCCATTTACAACCTATTGCACGTTTATTCTTTGGCAATTTCACAAGATCCCAGGTTTTATTTTGATTAATGGACTTAATCTCGTCTTCCATAGCTTTTTTTCACTTATCAGCATCAACACAACTCATAGCCTGTTTGAGTGTCTTAGGCTCAAAATCAACTCTTGATGAATAAGTAACAAAATCACCAAGAAGTTCTGGTTTTTGACCTTTATTTCTTCTACTTGATACTTTGATTTCATCACTTCTTCCATTCTCCTCCTGAACCGAAACGTTCTGATCATTCATTAAATTATGATCAACACGGATTTTCTGACTTTGGTCATTCTCAAATTCTCCATGTTCAATATGTGTTTGATCTGTCTCTTCTTCGTTTTCTTCTTCCTCACTTTCATTTTGAGAGTCTTCAGCATCATAAAAAAATTCAGAATCATTGAATGTTTGAACATCAATTGTAGAACCAGAGGAAAACGGGTAAGGCACCAAATCACCGCTACTCCACTTCATTTCGTGAGATGAATTCTGATTTATCTTCATGAACTTTTCTTTTAGAAACACAACATCACGTGACACAACTATCTTCCGTTGTTTCACATTTGCAAGTCGATATGCTTTCTACCATCCGTCATATCCTACGAACTCTAACTTTTCTGCCTTGTGATTTAACTTCTTTCTCTTCTGATGAGGAATCATCACATAAGCACTAACTCCAAATTCTTTAAAATTTGAGAAATCTGGCTTCTTGTCAAAGAACTTCTCATACGGAGACTTTGAATCACCTTTGCTCAAAACACGATTCAATGAGTAATTCGCATTCATTATGGCTTTATCCCAGTACTCTCGTGACATCCCTGACTCAGTAAGCATCGTCCTACATGCCTCAACTAGAGTCCTATTCTTTCTCTCGGAAATACCGTTTTGCTCTGGTGAGTAAGCCACAGTACATTGAAATCGAATTCCCTCTAAACGTAAATACTTCTGAACTTCCTCACTTAAATATTCTGTCCCTCGATCCGTACGGAACATTTTAACTTTTCGACCGAACATTTTTTTCAAAAGTTCAAAATACTCTATGACTTCAGACTGTACTTCACTCTTTGCCTTCAAAAGATATACTGCCGTAAATTTCGAATAAACATCCGTGAATGTTGCAAAATATCGAAATCCTCCAACTGAGGTAGTTGGTATAGGGTCACAAATATCACTGACTATACAGTCAAGCGTATTTTCAACAGGTGTTGCCTTCTTTGGAAATGGATTTCTAAAAATTTTCTATAGAATGCATGATTCACACACATTTGTGCAATCACAATCGGCAATTTTCAAACCTTTATCCTTCATCGCGAGTATATCATGCAAATTTCTGTGAGCTAATTTTCGATGCCATTCATGTACACAGCATCTATCCACTCTGTCATTTTCTTCAAGCATAATCTTTCAACTTCAGCTCTTACAACATACATATCGTCTGATTTCTCAGCAATCTGCAATTGTTCCACACCTTCTACTTTAAGGTAACAGCTAGTTGAATCAAAAATAGTATTATAGCCCTTATTACAGAGCTTTGAGACAGAGATCAAATTACTGTCAATGCATGGCACCAGAAGTACGTCAGTCAGATCTACACTAAAGCTTTTGTTTCCTACAAATACATTCATACGAACATCATATCGTCCTATGGACTCAACCTTCTCGCCATTAGCAACGGTAACCGTACCCCTAAAACTTTCTTCAAAACTAAGGAAAAACGACTTACTGTAGGTCATGTGAGACGAAGCACTAGTGTCAATACACCACTGAGTCTTTAGGATCGTAACAATTTCTTTCATTTTCAACATTAGACAATTCCGCTTGATATTTCCTTCTCGTTTGCACTAATGACACTCGATGTGCTTCTTTGAATCAATTTCAGTTCTATTGATACAAAACACATCAGATCCTTTTCTTACATTTTCACACCGCCTTTCCCATTCATCGATGAGTTTCAGCTTGACATTTTGAACAGTTAGATCCTAGTCCTTACATGATTCTAATCCAGTCACCAAATTATCATATTCAGCATGCAGACTTGATAAAATAGCACTCACAATCATGGTTTCTTCAAGATGATCACCACACTCCTTGATGTTTTGCAAAATTTCAAACAATTTTTGCAAATGTTTCTGCATGTTACCACCCAATGATAATTCAGTCTTGAACAGTTGCTTATAAAGTCTCATCTTATGTCCAGCTGAATCGTTGTGATGAAAATTCTTCAATGAATCCCATGCTTCCTTTCCTACTTTCGCATCCGAAACATGTACCAGTTGATCATTAACAACCATCAAAACAATATGTGCCAATGCTTTCAAGCTTCTAACTGCATCCTCTGGTTTTGAACTTCTCGGAACGATGATATCCCATAGATCTTCCTTGATCAAAATCATCTTCATTCTAAGTGCCCAGACACGATAATTCTTGCAGTTCAATCGCTCGCACATGGCAGATTCTTCTTCAAACTTCATTGCGAAAAGGCCTATAACCTCTTGGATAATTAAAATAATGTATTCTTTATTTTAATCCTTGCAGAATAGCAAAATGGAATTTTTAACTTTAAATAAACTTCTTTTCACGATAACAATATTTACAATAATAATCAGATTCCTACGATCAATATATATATAACATATAAATATATATATAAATAATATAAACATTTAAACCTCTCACATCCTGTCATTCAGCCCTTTTTTTTAAAATTTCAACAACTTTATTTTTATTTCATTTCTTATTTAGGTAATAATTACAAATTTTTCTTTCTGTAAGATCAATTACTTAAAATTATACCTCACAATGCCTATCCAATATAAAGTCAGATTTACTTCTTCCCTTTTCCTTTTGCCTTGGCAGCATTTTTGTGAGCTGCACGCTTCCTTTTTGCATCATTTTTCATCTTCGATGACGTTTCACGTGCCTGAAGCTTTTGTTTCTTCATTCTTTGCTTGAATAACTGATCACGTGTCTTTATTTCTGGATCTAATCGTTTCTTCATCTCTACTTTAGCATTATGACGTCCCCAACTTGTGTGTGGATGGCTTCTGATTTGTGGTTTAAGAACTTCCTCGTCACTTCCAGCATCATTGTCCATTCGATCTTCCATCTTTGTTCGCTCTTTCCATTTTGCGTATCTATCAGTTTTATATGATGCAGGAATCCAAACACCATGTTCTGTCCTGATTTTACCAGCTCTTGGATCAACTACATTAACCATCTTCTTTTTTTTACGATCCCACTTCTGTAATGTTCTACTTAATCGTTGTCCCTCAGCTGAGTCAGCTGTAACGCTAAATTCTGCTTGCTGTGCATCACGAGTAAATGAATTTACAGCAAATCCATCTTCTGTGATTTTATCTTTTGGCTGATAAGGAATGAAATATTCTTTATCACGATTCTCGCTCAATCCGAGTGCATTTATAGCATTTTTTGATTTAGATTTGCCTTTTTTACGTTTCTTATTGCGTGGCTTGCCATCTTCATCATCATCGTCAAAACTGTCATCGTCCTCGTCTCTTTGAAGGACTAAATAATCTTTTTCTGTCTCTTCTTCCTTTTCACGGAACTTCTGGATCTTATTTTCATGAACTTTTCTCTTATCGCGCATTACTAGGAACTGTTTGTCATTCAACTTTGGATTGAGTTCAAATATTGTTGATCTAGCTTTATATTTCTTCATTTGATCCAAAAGATTAGCTTTAAACTCATTTGCGGATGTGTCGGTGACTAATCCATCTTTTCCTTGAAATTCTTCTAAAACTTGAAGTGTATTGAACTTGACATGCTTTATTTTTTTATTTGAATCAACTGATGCTGTTGGTCTTGTCTGAATATAAGCTTTATATGCATTATTACTAACTCTGTAAATATTAGCTATGTCCGAGTCCTGAATGTGTGTCAATACAAACTGCTGTTCCTCTTCAATTAAGGCTGGATCGCAAACTCCAATGCATTTATTATTTTGAATGTCTAATGGACGATTAAGGAAGAGATGTGTGTCAAGGACATGAGCTTCATCTTCTGTTGAAAATATCGAATAAGCTTTTCCTGTTCGTCCAGCACGTGCACAACGTCCGATTCTATGGATGAATAATTTTGGCTTGCCTGGATAATGAAAGTTTATCACATAATCTAGACACGGAAGGTCGATTCCTCTAGCAGCTAAAATCAGGAATTGAATTTAATAAAGTTTTTAACGGATATTATAGATTTGAATTATTTAACTGATATTTGAGATTTGAATTTTACTTATTAATGGTCGACAAATTGAATAACAGATGACAGTTGCAAAAAATTAATTTTAATTAACTTACCGATATCAGTGACAACGAGTACATTAACTTTATTGTGTGCAAACTTTGCAGTGTTGATTTTACGAGCTGATGGATCAAGATTTGAATAAACATAAGTGTTTGTAATATTTGCTTTTGTTAAAATTAATGAAATTAATTCGACATGATGCTGTGTGGCTGCAAATATGATTGTCTGTGCATTTGATGGAATAAAATGCTTCATGAGCACTAAAAGACTTGCATATCTTTCGTCTGATCGTGAAAATATGAATCTTAGTTCCAATGCTTCAGGGATTTTTGTATCAACATCCAGACGAACTAAAACTGGATCTGTAAGACCGGCTTTTGCAAAATCTACTAAACAACTAGGCAATGTTGCACTAAACATGACTGTTTGTCTTGAATCAGGGAGTCTTCTAATGGTTTCATTAATTTGTTGACTGAAACCCATTTCAAATAGACGATCACTCTCATCAAACACAACATACTCGATAGCATGAAGCTTTAAATCCATTTCCATACAAATGTGAAGGAATCGACCGGGTGTGGCTACAATCACATCTGGATTATCATGAATGGCTGAGAACTGTGAATCCATACTGTCACCACCAAGCACTAAGACTGTCTTTAAATCGTGAAATTTGCCTAAATCCTTCATAAACTTGAAAGTTTGAATAGCTAATTCTCTTGTTGGCGTTAAGACTAATGCTCGAGCACCAGCTGATTTTGAAGATCGTTGCTTTAGCTTCTCAAATAATGGAATTAAGAAGCAGGCAGTTTTTCCTGATCCAGTTTTTGCCATAGCCACTACATCTCTGTTTTCCATAATGATTGGGATTGTTTTACGTTGAATTGCTGGAATGTTAAGTATGTCAGTTGATGTCTATTATATATAGCATGCTGTCTTACCTGTCGGAATTTTATATCCGCGTTTATGAATAGCTTTTAATGTTTTCTCGCTCAATCCCATCGAGAGAAAACCACTTTTCTTGTTCTTCTTATCCTTCTTCTCGCCTTTAGCTTCATCGTTGCCAGGAATCGATGAGAATCCAACCAAATCATCTTCCAGTTCCGTCTGAAAATTTGAATAACAAAATATACAATAATTAACCAGAAATCTATGTTGTTAAGACTTCTGTTTGATGATAGTTGCTATTACTTACCATTTTGCATAAGATTTACCAGCTACCGCTGTGTATTTCTTTTTAATTTAACTAATTTCACTTTCAAAACAAATCCTCGTGGAGAGTAAGTAATAAAAACTCGCTAATCCGTAATGTTTATATACGTAATCCGAACAGAACCATACAAATGTTTTTTGAATTTAAACTGTTTAAAGGTTTTGATTGAGATTTGAAAACTGAGAAACCGTTAAAATGAAATGTTTTTTCTTTGTTCTTTTTAAAGTAATTTTTGATTATTTTTCATTAATCCTTATTGGGATTCGTTCAACCGTTTTCTGACGGGCTGTGCCCGTTTAATGGGGCGAAATTGAAAAAAAAGGGACTTTCACTTCGAAAAAGGCAATGCTTCGAATTACGATCTAAAGTGGATTTTTTCTTAGAGGACATAAAAATAGACTTCTATGCCAAATTTCAGGTCATTTGGTGCTAGTTTTGCGGATCTATGGCTGTTTGAAGTTGAAAATGGGTGAAAAATCTGGTTTTTTCATGTCACGTTAGAACTGGTAAATCTCCGCAGTGATTAGAGATATTGAAAAAAGGTTTTCAGTTCCTAAAAGTGTATATAAGAGCTTTTTTTTTTAATGCATATCAAAGTTTAAAAATTTGATGTTTTGGTACCGGTATAGTTGAAAGTGTATAAAAATCCTAGGAAAAATATATTTGTGCAGTCACAACTTTTTTCTGTCAACAGCTATACCAGTCAAAAACCACACCATTAAACAGCCACTGATTTCTAGTTTTTATGACTGTATAAACATTAAAATAATGTTTGCACCGTTATGAGAAAAGTTGATTTGAGTAAATCAACAAATATTTTGCCAAAAACGAAAATTTCTTATAAATAAAACAAAACAATAACTACAAATAAGTTTTTTGGTATTTTTCAATGACAAACAATATTTAAAGACAACCTGTGAAGAAATTTTTTCAAAAAGTTCTAAATTTGTCGATTTATAGGGTACTTTTGATATCTGACGACTTGTATGTTTTTTTCATCACTCAAACCACTAGTACTCTTAGAAAATTAAACATTTTTTAATTTTGTTTTCAGTTTATTGTAGCTTAAATTAGTGCCTTTCTAGTGATGTATAATACTTGATAGTTGACTTTGATCTTGGTCATGAATATGAAGCTTGTTTGTGAGCGACCCTAAACTAGAAAAAATCTCAAAAACGTCATTTCTAGAAATACCACTTGGAAACAAAATTAAGTATTATAATCAGGGTGGGGATTTAAATCATAAATAAAAATCAAAATCATTTTGCAATGATTTGAAAAATGATTTTTGATTTAAATCATTTTACCAAGTGATTTATTTTTGATTTATGATTTAAATCATTTTGTATGAAAGATTTATTTGTGATTTATGATTTAAATCACATTGTATGGGGATTTTAAATCACTTGAAGGTGAAAATTTGTTTGGGAATTTTCAGATTTTCACCTTCAAGTGATTTAAAATCCCAAAAAAAATCCCCATACAATGTGATTTAAATCATAAATCACAAAAAAATCTTTCATACAAAATGATTTAAATCATAAATCAAAAATAAATCACTTGGGTAAAATGATTTAAATCAAAAATCATTTTTCAAATCATTGCAAAATGATTTTGATTTTGATTTATGATTTAAATTCCCACCCTGATTATCATAAATCAACATAAAAAAACCAAAACTCAATACTTAATTTTGTTTCCAAGTGGTATTTCTAGAAATGACGTTTTTGAGACTTTTTCTAGTTTGGGATCGCTCACAAACAAGCCTCATATTCATGACCAAGATAATACTAAACTACAAAGTATTATATATCCTTAGAAAGGTCTAGATTTAAGCTACAATAAACTGTAAACAGAATTAAGAAATGTTTAATTTTCTAAGAGTACTAGTGGGTTGAGTGATGGAAAAAACATACAAGTCGTCAGATATCAAAAGTACCTTATATAACGACAAATTTTGAACTTTTTGAAAAAATTTCTTCACAGTTTGTCTTTAAATATTGTTTGTCATTGAAAAATACCAAAAAACTTATTTGTAGTTTTTGTTTTGTTTTATTTATAAGAAATTTTTGTTTTTGGCAAAATATTTGTCGATTTACTCAAATCAACTTTTCTCACAACGGTGCAAACATTATTTTAATGTTTATATAGATATGAAAACTAGAAGTCAGTGGCTATTTAATGGTGTGGTTTTTGACTGGTATAATTGTTGACAGAAAACAGTTGTGCCTTCACAAATATATTTTTCCTAGGATTTTTATACACTTTCAACTACACCGGTACCAAAACATCAAATTTGTAAACTTTGATATACATCAAAAAAAAGCTCTTATATACACCTTTTTTTTTGAAAACCTTTTTTCAATATCTCTAATCACTGCGGAGATTTACCAGTTCTAACGTGACATGAAAAAACCAGATTTTTAACCCATTTCAACTTCAAACAGCCACAGATCCGCAAAAATAGCACCAAATGACCTGAAATTTGGCATAGAAGTCTATTTTTATGTCTTCTACAAGAAAAAAATCTATAGTGCTGTGGAAGAATAGCATAAAATGATTTTTTCGTGTGAAAATTTCGTGATAGAAGTGATGAGGGGGTCTGAAAATTCCTGAAAATGTTTAAATAAGCAAGCAATTTTAAATTTATCAATTAATTAATTTATTCAGTAATTTTAGTTTTTAAAATCAAAAATTTTACAGCTGATATTATAGTTTACTTTTCCATACTTTAATCGTTAATTTTTTATCATTAAATAATTATAATTAATTTTAGATTTTTTTTTTCACTTTTATCATCCACAATTTCATTTTTTTTATCATCGCTTCTTTCGTCAAAAATTTTTATACAAACAAAAGTTTTTTTTTCTTCATTTTTTTCTCCTTTTTTTCATGATATATTTTTTTACACATTGATTTTCGAAACATTTGATGGATTTGCGTTCAAAGATCCTCGAGTAGTAATTTTTTATTTATTTCATCTGGACATTGGATTTTCATTTTCACATTTTTCCTGAACGATATCAACTCAAATGCTTTAATTTTGCTGGTTTTATTGGACAACTAAAAATAATCTTTTTAAAAACTTCTTTTTTTTGTTGCCATTATTTTTTTATTATTTATGAAAATGTTATTAACACCAAATATCTTCAAAACTTGTTTTTTTAAGTATATTTGACCGGTAAAAATTCTTTCTTTTCATTCTTACAAGGTTTTTTTAAAGTTTAAATTTTTCTTTTTTATTTTTGAGTTAATGACACGCTTAATTTAGATGAACTTTAGTTTTTTGTACGTTACCTGAACATTTTTGCGCCAAATTAATAGAATTTTTTGCAAATTACAATTCAAAGTTTCAAAATTGCAACAAAATTCTCTCAATTTGCCGCCATTTTTATTTTTTTACAATTTTTTTCTTATTCCAAAAAGTTTTTTTTACATAAAATACAAATTTTTTTCATTTTTTTCATAAATTTAATATCAGATGTGTTCGTCAATAGTTTTTGGTCAGAAAACTGTTTTTTTTTCATCTCGAAATTTTTATTTTTTGTCCATAAATTTTTATGTACAGTGTCCAAAAAGTAGCCTAAACATTAATTTAGATTTCTTTAATTTTTTTATGCCTAAACAATGAATTTTTTTTGTACAATTTATTTTACAACAGTTTTTCTTTTTTTTTTCCAAACAAAACAATTTTTAAATTTTATTTTATCTATAAATTTTTCCTAAACAGTTTTAGTTTTTTTATTGGTCAAAAAGTGGCCGAAACGAAATTTGTTATACAAAAATGTGAACACATCTAATATTTGATGGATTGATTTGAAATTGATTTGCGGTTGAATTTGAAGCCTTTTTGGATTCAAATTTGACCATTTTTTTAATCAATTTTAATCGGTAATTTTGTTTTAATTTCTTTTATAAATCTGCAGATTAAGAGCCTTAACTGGATTTTGTTGATGGTTCTTAACTTGGTTCAGCTTCTCACATCAGGTTTTGAAGAAGATTTTACAACTTATCAAATTAATCAAATTGATCAAAAATGACCAAGAATCATCAAAAACATCAAGATTGATCAAAAAAAGTTCAAAGATGTTAAAAAATGATCAAAAATTGATCAAAAATAATCAAAATTCATTTTGACAAGTTTTGCATTCTTTAATTTGAAATGGTTTTGAATCTTAGATTTTAACTTTGAATTACAAATTTGAGTTCGTTTTGATTCTCAAGATTTGAATTACAAGTTCCAAAACCTAATCTTTAAAAGCATAGAAACCAAAACCAAACCCAGCAATCTAATTTAATTAAACATTCTTCATAAATCTGCAGAATTAACAGTATATTTCCCAAAATTTTACAATTTTTCACTCCAAAATTACATTTTTTTTTATCATGTCATTTTCAAAAGGGCCGCAGCGTGTCATTGTTAAATACCGAAAAAGATTCCATTCTCTTTTGTTTTTGTCATAAAGTAAAGTAAAACAAAAAGTTTACATAATTTTTCATGCTGGATCAGTAAACATTCATTGATAAATTCATTTTTTAGATTAATTTCAAAATTTTTTTTCTTTCTCCATTTGATTATTTTTTTTTGTTTTTGTGTTACTATCGAGCTGTAAAGTGGTTAATGGACAAAAATTGTTTGTATAACGGGCCAATTATGAAAAATTTTCCGTTTTTTATTTCATTTTATTTTATTTTTGCGAAAGTTAAACTTAAATTGTCTGTTTTTTTATGATTTTTGCTTCGGGTTTTTGGCACAAATTTTCATCGAAAATTGAATTCAATAATTCAACGCTTTTGCTCTTTTTTTTTATTATTTTTTATTTTGATGGTTCCTTAGGTACTTTCTCATTATTTTTTATTTTTTCTTATAAATAAATAATTTCTGACATTTTTCATCTTCCTTCATTTTAATTTTTTCTTTTCATTTGTGTGTATGTCAATTATTTGTTTTATGTATTTTATGATTCTTCTGTAAAAAAAGACCATTTTATTTATCTATTGTAACTAAAGTGTTGATAATGTGTGAATTTATTTGCACAAATCACCGTTCATGCAAATAACTTTTTTTTAAATTCTTATTTATTT